TATATATATATATATTTATGCATGTTATATATATTTATATAGGATGTTTCAAAATAATCGCCATATATTTCATGGGCAGGTAGAGCGGACTAAGTCGAAAAGTCCTCTATCATTTTGCAATTTTCACAATAGTTAACAAGATTTGATTACTAAAAATTGCCGAAAAATGGTCTTCAATAATCTTTTATTCAAATATTATCAACTTTACAGAAAAACTGCAATAAACAAAAAATGTTTATTTTCTTCTTACAAAGCTTTAAGAATTTTTTTAGAATTTTTTCAGAATTTTTTAATACCGTATTTTCTCATAGTAAAAATGCAATACTAAAAAGTTGACAAAAAATTTTGATAAAAATTTGTAGAGTTCTATGAGAAAAAAATAAATGTTTCGTTTTTCGTTGCAGTTTTTTTGTAAAGTTGATATTTGAGTAAAATATTATTGAAGACCAATTTCTGGCAATTTTTAGCAATTAATATCTTATATTATTGTGAAAAATGGTAGAAGGCTAGTCCTAGGATTGACTTTTGAAAACTGTACTTAAGACTACATATGTAAGAATCAACTATGAATAGTATATGACCAGTCTGTTTTGTCGTAAAATTGGTACAAATCTTTTTTTTAACATTTTATGTTTCTCTTTCTATAGAAAGAGAAATATAGTGTATTCTCTCGAGTTAGAATCCTAACCCATGCACCATGGTTAGATTAAATTATTATATATCTATGAGTATAAAATAACCTAACCCTAATCCAATCATGTATCATGGTCCCTCAAACGGGGGGGAGGGAGGGGGAGGTGCGGTGGCAGTTGCTTTGTGTACAAAGTCATTACGTAAGCAAGTAAACGTACAGAATAGCTTTTAATATTGTATAAAGCAGGAATAAATCATTATTTTTTCATACTTTTTTTGTTAATAATTTTTAACGAAGGATGACCGCGAGCTAAAATCTTTTGAAGATCACTCGGAGTCATGATCTTGATTATACATGTCAAGGTCAAGTTCAACGGAGGGTATTCCCCTATATTAGATATTTACTAAAAATATTATTATATTTAAGTCGGGTGCCAGGTTCACATAGGTACCAAATAGAGCTTTTCTAATCCTCTTCTCTAGCTGTTTACGTGAAAATTTCCAGTCATATTTAGGTAATTTATTTAGGTAATAATTTTCTGGTCATGTATATGTAACTTTCATGTAAAATTATGTATTTTTTTTTCAGTGAACGAACATCCAGGATCTATTATAAAATTGGGTTATATAGATGTTGAAAAAATGTTAAATAAATTTGTTGATAAACGTTTTAAAATGGTTCTGCTAAGTAAAAAATAACATTTTATAAAGTTTTTATATTTCATTTTTATACTAGTTCCATAAACGTTTAATTGATCGTTATTTCTAAAGTTTCCACAGATGACGTATTAAAACGTTTACTTATAATCGTTGATGTTTTTTTCAAGTCTTTTAACATTTTTGTTCTACTTGAGTAAGTGTCAGAAAATTAACAATATAATGATTTATAAACAAATAGACTTGATATATCAAGTTTCAGCGATTTATATATAAATAATTACGAATCGGAATTATTAAAATCAATCAGATTAAAGAACATATTAAAAGAATTCGATATTTGAGACATGAGAATTCATAACGCTTAATATCAATTGAAAACCTCGAATTCTTGGTTATATACAGCTCTTCGAAACAAGGCTCTTCATTATATACGATAATAAGCTGCGACAAACACAATTCAATCGGACTTATTAAGCTTTCTGCGAATTATGATGTTATTTCTGATAATACATTGTTACGTAGTCAAACTGTAAGCTATAAATACTATTGAAAAAGATTACATTCCTAATATTAAACTTAATACTAGTAAATTATGCGAAGATCTTAAGGAGATCTTAAAGCTTAAGATCCTGTTTTATCGATTAAAAAAATCATGTAATTTTTGTATAACAAATACCTTTTTTCTCTTTCACCGATTCGAAAATCCTTTTCCAAAATTAAAGTATACGCATTAATACGTATCTGGGAAATAGAGTCTATGCCGAGAATGATCAAAAATTTCAAAATTGTTATATTTTTTAGCATTTTTTTATTGTAACATGGCTGTCTGAGCTGTCAAGTCGTGACAACATTTGCATGATATGAAAGCTTTGCAATCTGTACGAAATAGTGATTCCTAAAAATGTAATTTATACGAACAACATCGAATTCTTAAAATAAGATTTAGATCCAGTTGCATCAATGTCATTTTGACTTTAAACGAGACTTAAAACTCCATCTGTCTCATTTTAAAGCCAAAAAGAGGCAGAAAAAGTTTTAAGCCTCACTTAAAATCAATGTTGGTGCAATCGGGCCTTAGACGCTTTATCATGATGAATTTATTATACGATAATTGACACGAATGTGTATTATAAGTGCGTGAGATATGATGTGGTAGTATACGAGCATTCCGAGTTACGCATGAAGCACATGATGTATTGTTTTATTCTTTTTTATTTTGGTAAACAACAAAGACAAATGATGCATCATACATTTCATGTGTAACTCAGAACGCACCCTATAAAGATATATCGCGTGGCGGGATCTTTGATGACTTCATCGGAGTTCGAGCTTCGCTTTAGGATCCCCTTAAGAAACGTAATGTAAATATCACGAATATCCACTTGTTAAATATTGGTAAAACGCCTAACCTAGATATTTATGTATTAAAAACAACGAAACGAAAGGCCCCGCACAATGTCATAGCAAAGAGAAACCTGACAGAAGACAGCCCAAAATCTGTAACCTCAAAATACTGCTGCACACTACTGACAAAGTGGGTGTAAACTACATAGCAATGTCCACTTTTCTTAGATACATCTAATTTTCAAGGCTGGAGAGGATAAATCGATATTTAGTTCACATAATCGTGCTACATGTAACACGATTACATCACTGTCTCACATAAAAATAAGTCTTTTGATTTTTTTCTTTCTCTCCCTTTTTTCTTCCTTTCAGTTCTGACTAGTAGCTTCACAAGTGTTATAACGTTTTTCACTGGTAAAATTGATATATACTGGTGCATTTTAAAGCCAGAAATCGATGTAAAGATGTACGTTTAATAAAAATATAGAAACGAATAAACCTAAATGAAATTCTCAATACATTTTATTATGGTATTTGATAAATTATACATTTTATTAATTGAGACATCTCACTTTTACATTCAGATAGTGTACAACAGTTTAATGTGCACTGAGTGCGCACCAGTTCTGTCAGTGAAAAACGCTATTAGATTCTTTTGATTTATGCATATATTAGATATCTAATGTTACATATATAATAAAAGGCTAATACCAAATTATGTTGTGGTGATCATACATGTGATAAAGAGAGCTCTTCGTAAACAATATTGTACTGATTATACACTAGTTGCTTTCCACTTATACACAAGTAAAACAGTCTGAAGTAATCTGAGTATGAAATATTCAGATTAATGACTTGCTTAAAACTTGCTGCTTTGATAAAAAGTTATTACAAGACAATAAAGATTCATAACCTCACTTTTAAAGTGAGTTTATGAAACTCACTAAAGCCTTAAACACAATGCGAGACAACAGGAAGTTGTATTCAGGAATTACGCCTAGATAACTCCAGTGTGCATTTTTACTACTATAATATATGTAACGTAATCTATAGCTTAGAGTTATCTGGGTATAATTCCTGAACGCAGCTCAGCGATAACGATAGAAATAATGATAGTGATAGCAATAGCGATAGAAATAGAGGAATTCAACTAGAGATGAATGATTCGCACTCTATTATTTTGATATCAATTTCTTTGAAAAAAATCGAATATCGATATATTTTTCCAACTTGATTATTCCCTAAATAATAATTGTTTTGCTTCGATATAACTAGAATCGTTAAGCCGGAAACACAATAAAAAGCACAGGCAATAGGAACCAATATTGTTAGACGAGCAGGGGTTCAGACGCATGCGCGATCAATGTAGCTTCAGTAATGTACCAATCACTAGTAAATAAAAGATCATTAGTCACTTAGGATTGAAAATATTGAAAATTTTAATATATTTTACATACGTATACATATATATAAATATATATATAATATTTCTATATATGTATACATATGTAAAATATGTAAAATATTAAAATTTTCAATATTAAAAAAAAATTTTACATAAGCGATTAATGATCTTCTATTTACTAGTGACCGGTACGTTTCTGAAGCTATATTGGACGCGCATGCGTCTGAAACTCGGCCCGTTTAACAATACTGATAAGAACAGGAAATGACGAATTTAACCTATCAGAAATCATGGCTGCGTTCAGCAGAAAACAATTTTGCACCGTTTTATGAATGTCTGTCATGAAGCAAGAAAGGAGAAGATCGATCACGATTGGGCGAATACAAAAAAATGACTCTTAATTGTGCCGAATCAAGAAGGAATTCGCTGAGAGCAATAGCTTGCGAATTAGGGCGCCATTTGCAATATCAATCTTCTATCTGACTTCTGTCAATTTTCAGCGGTTTGAATATGTCCAGCGTTTGGGTCTGAGCACAAGAATTGTCGTAACACTTACTTAGACTGAAATTATAGACGTAAGTAATGCACGAGCTTTCACATATGACGTACAACTTATTGCCGTATCTCCAAGAGACAGCAATAAATCGTACACCATACGCGAAAGCTTGTACCTTACTTACGTCTACAACTTAAATCTCTAAGTAAATATTCCCTTCAGGTGATTGCTTTATTAAGGATGCTATGATAAAATCAGTTAAGGTTGGTATTACAAATGATGTCCTAATTCGTAGGCTGTTCCTTTCAGCGAACCCTCTTAATTCGACACATGAATGAGTGCCTCTTTCCATTACACGAAGGTCGATCTCCTCTCTTACTTCATAATGTCTGCGTTCAGCACTTAAGATGCCTTTTATGCTGATGCGCAACATTCATTTTCAGCGTCAAAATAAATAACGTGATTAAAATTGACGTTTGATATTCGTCAATTTCTATCACGTGATTTAATTTGATGCCGAAAATGAGCGTCGAGCGTCAGCATGAAAAGGCATCTTTAGAATGGATGTAAAGAGAATGGTACTAATGCATGTGCCTAATGCTGATTGGCTTCACCATTAAGGGACTCCGCACAATAAAAGGAACAGGGAACAGAGAATAGAGAATAAAAATTTCAACCTGTCAGAAATCATGTATTGTGGCATACACAGTTTCTGATAGATTAAAATTCTCTGTTCTCTGTTCCTTTTATTGTGCGGAGCCCCTAAATATCCTTACTGTTAGTTCCAAGATAGGCTGGGGTTCACTTAGCGCTGCAGAGCATTTGTAGCACTGACATGACTGGTCCATTTAATGTTTCCGAATGCTCCTAGCAACTCTGATTACGTTATCAATATGTCATCGTTTTTGTTTCCACTTCGCTCCAATTGCCTCGGAAGGTTAATTGGAGCGTTCACGTAACAATAGCACGTAGCAATTCGGAATAGTAATGGACCAATCACAGCGAAGTGTTTGGAGCGTAATGTTTAGAGTATTTGGAAGAAGCAAGTGGACCGCAGTCTATAAAGATGTTTTTTTATACTGACGCTCGATGCTCATTTTCAGCGTCAAAATAAGTTACGATTAAAATTGACGCTTGATATTCATCAATTTCTATACTACAATTTCAATACTACAAATGCTGAAGTGAAAAGCTACATGCAAGAGTGAGCGATAGGTCGGCGATAGAATAAGAGCAATGCAAAATAGAAAATAAATTTTATGAGATGATTTTATGAGATATATACAGATGCAATATATAATATATAGATTGATGCAAAAATAATGTCAGTTTTTTTGTTTTAAACTTTGATGCTTTATTTTATTATAAATGTATAGTATTATTATAAATGTATAATAACTTAAGTTATATTTGTGTCCATATTAATAAATATCATTTTAAAGCGCAGATTCCGCTCTATTTATTTATATCAGTAATGATTTTTATTTCTGTTAATGAAGTTATGCTACGAATTGAAATATTATTTAAAGCTGAAGACTAAAAAACCGACATTATTTTTGTATCAACCTATATAATAAATTAAGAATAGTTACTATAGGTATAATTATATTTATATAAGAAAATTTATGTACATGCTGCCATGTGTTGATGTGTACGCTTTTTATACAGAGTATCCTATAACAATTAATTAATATTTCAAGAAGTGAACGAGGATGAAATTTTGAACTAAAAATTCCTTTGCCAGTTTTGGCTCAGACTTGATTTATTGATTTATTTATTTGTTAATATGAAAAATTAAAATAATCTTCAATTAATTAGAATAAGTTTCAATCAGGATAACGCGCATAGCAAATGCAAGGAGCGAGGAGTTCCACGGTATATTCATAATATGCTCCTGCATAGTTCGTCTGCGTGTGATTGCGATTCAACTTTAATCGTTAATAACTCGATAAGTAATGATCTGAGCCAAAA